CAAATGTTTCAATCAGAATAGAGCTGGAAGGCACCTTGGAAGTCTTCTAATCCAGCCCGCTGCTTAAGCAGGAAACCCTATACCTTTTCAGAGAAAGTGGCTGTCCAGTCTCTTCTTAAAACATCACTGGATGTTTATTAGAGCTTTGTCCCTTGATCAGCAATTCCCAGATGTTTGCTTGTTTTTAAAGGAAGAGGTCCTACAGCCATAAAAAGTTTGACAATCCCCATCCTAGATGATGCCTGGAAACCTCACTTAACAGAATAACAAAGTTGGAAGGGACCTTGGAGGTCTTCTGGTCCAACCCCCATATCATTTCAAATGGCTGTCCAGCCTCTTCTTAAGAACCTCCGGTGATGGAGCATCCACCACTTCTGAAGGCAAGCCATTCCACTGGTTAATTGTTCTCACTGTCAGGAAATTTCTCCTTAGTTCTAGGTTGCTTCTCTCCTTGATTAGTTTCTATCCATTGTTTCTTGACTTGCCTTCTGGTGCTTTGGAGAATAGCTTGGCTCCCTCTTCTTTGGGGCAATCACTCAAATATTGGTACACTGCTATCATGTCTCCCCTAGTTACTTTTCACTTTTCATGAAGGTAGTTCCTATGCAACTTTTCTCCAATAAAGGAGAATATTTGTAGCTTGGGGTTGAATTGAGAGGCCCTTGGTGCTCTCTGAGCTTGGTTGTTTTCCTGCAGAAGTTTCATTGCCGAACTAGGTAACATCATCAGTGCTAGTAAGGAGTGGGATTTGCTCTCAGCGAGAACCAATTAAGAGCGCTTAGAGAAAACTCAGGCACTCAGTGGACCTACAGCAAACCCCACTCCTTCCTAGCACTGATGATGTTACCTAGTTGGGTAATGAAATGTCTGCAGGAAAACAACCAAGCTCAGAGACCACCCAGGACCCTTCAATCCTCTCGTGTCCCTGGCAGGAGAACAAATGGATCTCAAAATTTTGCCCATCTATTTTCTGTTCTATTTGTCCCCATCCCTATGACTTGTCACTTGTGGAGAAATCAGCTCCCAGATCTGGACTGTGAAAATCCAGATAGCTTCGAAAACTTCAGAGAGGGAAGCAACCTGGAATTAAGGAGAAACTTCCTAACAGTGAGGACAATTAATCAGTGGAACAGCTTTGCCTCCTGAAGCTGTGTGTGCTCCATCACTGGAAGTTTTTAAGAAGAGACTGGACAGCCACTTGTCTGAAATAGTATAGGTTCTCCTGCTTGAGCAAGGGGTTAGACTAGAAGACCTCCAAGGCCCCTTCCAGCTCATTCATCCTAAAAGTTATCTGGAGCCAGCAACTGTCTTGAAATGAAACCTCCCTGACCATGGCAACAACAGGGAATATACAGAGATTTCTGCAAATTTATAGTCTTAGGCATCATTTGGATGCTAAGGGAACTTGATCTCATTCCAAACCAAGAATGACACGTTCATCTAGGAATACACACACACACACACTCCAGGTTATCCTAAATGAGCAGTAGGGGCAAGAATCAATGGTCAAAATAAATGCATGGATATATAATGTCACTATATCCCTAGAGCTTAACCTTTGGACTTTGTTATGCCTTCACATTACTGACCTCCCTCGCTGGCTTTCCTCGCGATGTGGTGTCCCCTGCATGCAAGAGAAATTAAGTGCAGGAACTTGAAATAGGAAGATAAATATATTCTTGTCAAATAATTTTTTTTTGTTTCGGTGAGAAGGGTTGAGTCTTTTGTTCTCTTTATCTCTTTTCAAAAAGTGCCCAGACTGCCTGTCTCCAAACCCTGTTAAGTCGACAGGAAATCTGTCGGTTTCATTTTATTTTTTTTAAAATTTCCATCCTCAACAGACAGTTCAGGAGATATGAGGCTGTACTGTATCCTGGGTTATATCCCTGGCACTGGTGAAAATAAATTATAATAATCCTATTCAGGGAGTACCAATAAAACTGTGATGCAACACACAGCCCTCTGCTCATTTAGGTTGTTTTTAAATCTGGCTTTGCATGATTGTCACCTTGTGACCAGCAAACACATTGTGCTTAGAGCAGTTAAATTGAAAATGGTATGTGAACAATGATCCCTTCAGGACAGGCAATGAAGATTGGGACAAATGTTGGATCTCGGTGTCAAACCATTTGTCAGGATTCCGGCAGTTACCCCCATTTAAATCATGAGTCTTGAGCCAAACTTCCAAAACTTCAAAAGGATTTATTGGGAGTTAACATGTCCAGCACTGCCTGGGTGTAGCCGACTCTGAGACACCTCATTCATTCTCTCACTTGGCCCTGGTTTCCCCCACCCCACCCCCGGGTGTATCGTAATTCATATTCTCCAATGGGACACATCCATAGCCCAGAGTCATCAATCAGGCTCTCCAGTTAGAATTTTGCACAGCAGAAACTTTGGTCACCTAGTTACTATCTTTGAAAACATTTATGGAATGCAGTTTCGGTTTTGCAAGCTGTTGCACTGCTCCCCCTCCCTTTCTGTTGGCAACTCTAAAAGACCATAGAAATATTTTATGAGTTGACACCATTATTTTTACTAAAAGGAGAGAATGTTCACAGCTCAGGTTGGAAATGAGGGGTCCTTGATGTTCTCTGTGTATTTGAGAAGTGGCAGCCCCTCAAATATTGAAATACTACGATCATGTCCCCCTTAGTCCTTCTTTTCTCTAGGGTAAAGGTAAAGGATCCCCTCGCACATACATGCTAGTCGTTTCCGGCTCTAGGGGGCGGTGCTCATCTCCGTTACAAAGCCAAAGAGCAGCGCTGTCTGAAGACGTCTCCGTGGTCATGTGGCCGGCATGACTAAATGCCAAATGCGCACGGAATGCTGTTTCCTTCCCACCGAAGTGGTGCCTATTTTTCTACTTGCATTTTTTACATGTTTTCGAACTGCTAGGTTGGCAGAAGCTGGGTGCTCACTCCATTACATGGCACTAGGGATTTGAACCGCCGAACTGCCGACTGTTCTGATTGACAAGTTCAGCATCCTAGCCACTGAGCTACTGAGTCCCTCTCTAGACTGGTCAAACCCAATTCCTGCAATCATTCTTTGTATGTTTTAATCTCCAGGCCTTTAATCATCCTAGTTCCTCTTCTTTACACTTCTCCTGTATTTGGGTGATAAAATGAAGATCCTTATCATTGAAATATCAAGGGTGTGAGGTTGAAACAGGAGTGGCCAGACCAAAGTTATCTAGGCAATTTTTATGGCTTGGGGTATTTTTGAAGCAGTTTTAAGTCAACTGCTTAACCGATTCATTATTTACTACTATACTGTAAGTACCATTGCACTAACTCAACATATGCACACCATTTTTATTATGTTCTATTTCAAATCCTGATAGGTGAGGGATGGCTTACCTGTAAGTTGCATTGAGGGCATCTGGAATCTGACAAGGCCCCTTGGAGCAAAAGCTTTGAGTTGTGAAATCCAGATCACCTCTGGACTGTTGAAACATTTGCCTTCAGACCAGAAAAACTCCAGTCTGAGATAAATTAGCCAAGAAAGGACGTTCTTTCATGGGTAAGCCCAGTGAAAAGGAAACAGATAGTGTTGCATGTGTATTGTTGTGTGTGCTTATTTTTGGATGAAGAATTTCTAATAGGAACTGCTGACCGATTGCTTTCTTGACCAAGCTGTTGCTTGCACTGGCTGTGTAAAAGCCTCTAACTTCAATGCCTGTGAGGGAGAAACATGGATTGATTTGTTCTGAGATTCATTGGTTGTCTTGGTTAGCCATGATTAGAATTAAGAGTTGTGGTTGGGGACAATGGCTGCCCAAATACTGTGTTTTCCCAAAAATAAGACCCTCTCTTATATATTTTTTTTGCCACAAAAAAAGGTACCAGGTCTTATTTTCAGGGGATGTCATCTACTGACTAACCCCACTTGCGTGCGTCACCCCTGATCTCCTTTTCGCTGTCAGAGGCCTTCAAGAACTTCTTCTTCTGCTGCTGGCAAGGCTTTCCTGAAGGCCTCTGCATCCCATAATAGAGCTATGGATCGATCCAGAGCTTTGTTATCAGCTACAGAGGCCTTCACGAAAGCCTTGCCAGCTGCAGAAGAAATGGGCCGGCAAGGCAGGTGTCAGGCTGTGCAAGGCCTGGCTACAACTGTCCAAAGGTAAGTAGTAGGGCAGCTTCACACACACACACACCATCCCCACCTTAGCTTAATTTTTAGCCATGCCCTCTGGAGTGGGCAGGATCTTAATTAGGGCTTATTTTGAGGGAGGGCTTATATTGGGTGCATGTGTAAAATTTCCAGCCAGGACTTACTTTCAGGGCAGGTCGCATTCTCAGGAAAACAGGGTAGTGATCCCTATATTTGATCTCAGAGGAAGCATCTCCTTGAATAACAGAATGAGAAGGGCTGATGGCTGACCAGGTAGTCCACGACTTACCACCGTTCATTTAGTGACTGTTCAAAAGTTAGATGGCCCTGAAAACAAAGTGACTTCATACTTATGACCGTTGCAGTATCCCCATGGTCACATAATTGAAATTGGGAGGCTGGGCGTGTATTTATGTGGAGTCACGTGATCGGTTTTTCAGGACTTTCTGACAAACAACGTCAACGGGAAACCCAATTCACTTAGCGGCTGTGTTATGAACTTAAACTGGAGTGGTTCGCTTCACAACTGTGGCAAGAAAGGTTATAAAAGGGGGAAAACTCACTTAAGAACTTTATAAGCCCTACCCCCAAAAATAAGCCCCCATTAAGATTTTCAGCCACAGACACATTTAGACATGTATTTCCCCCCCCAAATAAGACCTAATTGGAAAATAAGTCGTAATGTGTCTTTTGAAGCAAAAATCAATACAAGACCCTGTCTTATTTTTGGGGAAACATAGTACCTATGCTCCAGTCTCCTATTCCACATCTGAATTTCATGGTTTCTCCTTCTAGGATTCCCAAATTCAATTCCAGGTTCAGCACAACCTAAAACCCACGCAAGGCTCCAAAGAAAGAAAGCAGAGAAGACAGTGGTATTCCTGGTTTGTTTGCAGTATTTTAATACAGCATTAAACTGTCATAACACTAAAGACAAGGTAATACTATCCAGCAATTAAGGCACATGTCGGAATGCCATTTTATGGACAATCCACAGCAGAATTTCGACAGTCTTTTCCGCAACCTTTTTTATATACTCAGTTGTCACTTTGGTGGCTGAGCTAAGCCTGTCTTCTCTGAGGCCCATGTCCATAGAAAAGTTATTATTTTCTTCATTAAAAAAAAAAGCTGTACAAGTTAATGACCAGTTAAAGAAGAGAAAAATTATACAACTGAGAACTCAAATGAGTACAGCTAGAATTTGTTTTTCTTTTAAGTAAGTAATTAAACGAATTGAAATTGGCAGAAATTAATATAATGACAACATTAGTTTCATATATTGTAGTTTGCTGCTCTAAATAACTTTTGTAAGAGACATTAAGAGCTCAGTGCAGGTATGAGCTCGCTTTAAACAGGGTTTAAAACAAATAATCTTAATATAACAGAACTATGGGAAACCATAAAGAATAAGATGCATATAATATACATGAGTCTAGCATGCATATTGTATCACGTTATGCATTCTAAATAATAATAATCACAAAATGCTTATATCACTGCAACCCTTTCTCAGTTACAGCCGATGACCACGTGCATTGCTTTAATGCCAGTGTTATTGCTTTCCAGACCTCAATGATATGTTTCTTCAACAGTTTTCAGCATCGCTGGATAGGGCAAAACTTACCCTGCTCACCTCTAAGATGCAGTATAAAAAAATAAACACATCCAACCATACTATGGTATTTATGAAACAGCAACTCTTTGGATCATTTCACACTTTACACAAAAAGACACTCGGAGTTCTCCAAGAGAGAGAGAGAGAGTGCATGCCACAAAGAATGGTGCTAAACTGTCCAGCAGACCAATCTGGTTCATGTATGTGCTTTTTATTTTCTGAAATATGATCCTTCAGCTATGGAATTTGTTGGAATTCATTGTTGGAATGTATGTCTATGCAACAACTAAAGTAGTATGCAGCCAGTAGATGGCAGTGTTTATAAGTTTGGATCTATGCTATATTTTCTATGCTCTAAGTAAGTTTCCTATTTCCTGATGCAGTTGAGCAGTTAAGCAGTAAAGCACATGGTGACAGTGCTTTACTACTCTGTGGTGCTATATATGAACAAAATTTCTAACAGAAATGAAGATTTTGTTTTTGTTTTTAACAGAAAGATCTCAGGTGTGCGTTTAAGTGGAATGTGTGAAAAATATCCAAAGAGCATTTGTGCTTCAGTTTTTATCGATGCACTAGAGTTTCTGCTGACAATGGGCAGATGTGGCAGTCATTAGGCCCAGCCCAAATGTATGTCTTAGGTCTGAATTGTTAGTGTGTTTCTCTCAAGGCCATTAAGTGGAAAAAAGTAACTCCAAAACCTGATTCTTACAAAATCAGTCCTAGCTTTTCTAAAAAGGCAATAATACTTTCCATAATACACATATAAATAAGTTGAATAAGCATATGAATATAAGTTCTAAACACCCAAATAATACACTGGTTACTTAATACTGATATTTTCATCCAAATATAAGCAGTAAGAAGAACAATATGGCTTAAAAGAATGGTAAGGCTTCATTTTCTTGTCAGAATTATGTATCAACTTTCATATAATATTCTATGTAGACAATATTTCCTTCTTAATGTAGCTCGGTTGCATATTTTATACAGACAAAGGCACTGTAAAAAAGAAAAAGAAAAAAAATAACAAATTCCTTCCATAAATATTTTCTTGAGGATACACCCTTAATTTTGTATAATACTTAAGAAAACTCTTAGCTCGGTTAGTATCATAGTATAGAAAACTAAGACCCTTTCTGGAAGCTTCAGAGTTGTAAAAACACTTTTAAAAAGCCTCGAGCAAAACTAACAATAGTAATTTTAAAAGACCCTCAAATATATACAGAAAGGTTACTGCAAAGTCTTCCAATAACAATTCAGTATTACAAAGAAATATTTGTAACCATTCAAAAATTTTAAACATCTAAAAAGTTCTCCAAAATACACACACACACAGTATTAAAAAAAATGGAGAGGAACACTATGTCAAGTATAACTCAAGATAAATACACTTCAGCAAGTAAAACTGTAAAATATTTCATAACAAGGGAGAGTAAACATTAATATCCATGGACTACATGTATTAACTGCACACGATTGTCCCTTTGACAATTATCCTAAGAAAACACAAGCCTTCATTTTGTTCAGTTACCCTAATAGGCTCAATCAGTGCTACAATCACACAGAAATATTTCTAGAGGCAGTGGTTTTTTGCAGACGTGAAAGGAAAGAGCACTGAAATTTTAGCTAGGTATAAAGTCATGTCTTACAACAGCGGCCCCTAACCCTTTGGGGCACCAGGGACCAGTTCCGTGGAGAGAGGTTTTCCCGTGGACCAGAGGTGACACAGTTTTGCGTGCTGCCCAGAGGTGGTATTCAGCTGGTTCGGACCGGTTCTGGCGTACCGGTAGTGGAAATTTTGAGTCGTTTGGAGAACCGGCAAATACCACCTCTGGCTGGCCTCGCCCACCTGCCCCCACTGTTACCTCTCCTAAATTGCCTTGTTTTTTAGCTCAGCTGATTGGCAGAGTGGATTGCCGCACCTCAGCTGAGCTGAAAACAGCACAGCTCACCAGCATTGATATAGAGGGCGGTCTTTGAGCTCTGCATGCTCTCAGAACTGGTAGGAAAAAAATTTGGAAACCCCCCACAGATGGGGCTTCACTTGTTTGCATTGCCTGGTTTCTGGCATGCTGCGGCCCAGGCCAGGTTCGCATCCCCCGGGGGTCGGGGACCCCTATCTTACAAGACGATGTGGCATGAAGCATTCTTAGAAGGCCGAATTAGAATCTACTCTCTGTTGAATTGCAGTATCGCAAGGCTGATAGAGGAATTCAATATAAGGCATGTAGGACATCACTGCCCCACTCATCCATGCAGGTCATTTGCAGCCCCTGAATGAAAATCTTCACAATTCAGTTTAAAACCAACCCTTTTAGAGGCAATCTCAACAGATACTCAAAAATCATACCGTACACAATTGGTTTGTTTCATCAATAGCACTGCTATTAATTCTTGCTATCGATTCTTTTCTCAGCTGGCTTTAAAGTCAGGGTGTTTCCTGGAGTCTCGCGCACACAAAACTTACACTCTGAGTTCTGTCTGCCACTAACCTTAATCAAATTGCAGAATACTCTCCAGAAGATATCTTTTGAGCATAAGGTATTAAACCTACATGAAATGGCTTGGGCTGGGATCTCCTGCTTGAGCAGGGGTTGGGCTAGAAGGCCTCCACAGTCCCTTCCAAATTCGTTATTCTGTTAAGATAATTAAGAACAACTGCCAGCTATTTAAAATGAATTGTGCTCCGCTGGCCTTCATTTTTAACACCAGTTGAAAAATAATAATAATAACCTTATTTACATTTTGTTCTCCTAGTATACTTTTGGGGAATTTTATGTAGGCAGGTATGACAACAACTAGAAAGGTTTTGGTTAATATTTTATAAGTGCTCAAACAACAACAATAACAACAATAACAAAACCTGCAGCTGGTATAATATAAGGCTACTTGTATTGTATTTCTCCTATTATTCAATGCTTGCTCCTACTTATAAAGAAAAACGAACTTTAACACTAAAGTTCAAGTCTTCAAAAGTCATCACTCAATTCTTCCTGCTCTGGATAATGACACAATGCTAGAAAGGCTAATGTGACTTCAGGAGTCTAATTAGCCAGATTCTCTGGTTTATATCTTTTTTCTTAAAACATGTTACAATACCATTAATCTTTATTTTCTTTTTCTGGACTCAATTAATTGAGTCTTTAATCATGTAAACAATGCAGAGGAAAGCTTTCAGCTTTATTAATTCAGAGGAGTTGCTATGTAAACAAGAACTGATCCAGAAATGGTCTAATCGTGGATTCATCTACACCTATTCATTTTTTATAATAAACCCACTGACAATAACGGGATTTAAAGGAGTAGTTTCCATACAACCATTGGATTCAATATGAACAATGACCAAACTGCTAATGGAATATTATCTAACTGTGTCAAGAAAATTTCCTTGAAGCTATAAAAAAAATAGCTTTCTACCTATGGCTTAAGGCAGATTCATCAGGTTCATAATACCCCCTCCCCATAAAGAGATGCACTTTAGTTACCCTTGTTTCCATGGAAGCCTAAACAGATTTAGCAACTTTTCTAAATTAGGAAGTTCACTCCATTCCTATAGAAGATGCTGCAACTGTTTGTATCAAGATACAGGAATTTCCCACTGATTTGAAAAAGAAGTAGTTGTTCATGAGAAACTGTAAGGTATGTGTTCCATGTACATCTGGAAAATAATTCTGGGTGTTGGCAACATTTGCCAAGATTTTTTTTTTTTTCAAATTTGCTGGACAAACATCAAGTCCAATCTACCAAGCCATTGGTATATTGCTGGCTTGGAGGATCTCATCTCTGGAAAGTATTTGGGAATAGCTGGAACAGGTTACATTTGGACACTGCTCCTTAAGTTCTATGGCAGAAAGGTGTGGGTTGACTTGGAATTTATAGAAAGAGGCCAAGAATAGCTAGACAGGAGCAGCAAGAACTGTCAAATATCTCCCTGCCTTGTAGACCCTTACCCTGTAATCCTTACATTGCTGAGCTCTTGTGGTTGGGCAAAACCAGGCAGGTCCAGTTCTCTAAGGTCCTAAGGGGTCCTACAAGTATCTGGAAACTTTTCCAGATGCAAAGAACCTCTGTTTAATTGCCATCTGCAGTACAGAGAATGGTATCACTCTCCTTGATGATCTGGCAGTGGTCTCGAGTTGATTTTGTATAACATAACTTAACCTGTTCAATGTTGCCCTGATTGGAATTCCTAATCTACCTCAAACTGTAGAAGAGCCGGCAGGGCCAGAAGGAGGAGTTAAGCGAGTCATTAGCCTAAAGTCTTTATGCTCCCACAATGTCTAATCCTTCTTCCATTGACTTATCTAGCACCAATTTAGTGTTGACTAGATTCTTGTCCATAGGCCCGAGCAATCTTCTTGGTTTCAATTTAACATTATGGTCCAGATTCTTTGTGCCTGAACACTAGGTTTCTATAGAAATGGGGGATACCTAGAATGCTTCAACCGCTGTTTTAACAGCATTTTAAATGAAGGTAATTTTTTTTAAAAAAAGCTCAACTATTATTCAGGATAGTTCCAGTAATAGATCGGTTTTGTTATAAAGCTTCAAAATTCTCTTGCTTAATCGAATTGCTAGAGTCTGTTTGAAGTATAGAGAAGATGTACATAAGGATAATACCTTTGTACAATCATAGAAACCCTTACTTTATCTAGACATAGCAGCTATTATTTCACTGAAAATGAGTACATTTAGACAGAACAACTACTTTCTGAAGATGTCATGGAATCTACAGTGCATTTAGAACGTATTCAGACCCCCTTTGACTTTCGTCAATTTCGTTATGCCGTAGCCTGATTCCAGTTATTGAAATTCATTTTGGACTCATGGGAATACATTCTGAATGGATTGCAAAATTAATACAGAAGATGGATATATTTTTCAGTCAGTGATCTTGAAACTAATTCCCCCCCCCCCATTCACAGGGAAATTTATTTCTACTAATCCTGCCAGATAATTTTGATTAGCAAATCTGCTTCGATTGATAAAAAAGGGCAGAAACTTCGCAGTAGGAAGTACCAGGATTAAGATGCTTCCTTCTAAGACAGACACGGAACCAAAGTTAGACAATGAATGGCAGCCGAGTTCTGGCTTTTTAAAAACAGTAAAACATGGGTAAGGAGTTGGACTAGATGACCTACAAGGTCACCTCCAGCTCTGTTATTCTATTCTGTAAGTAAACCAAGAACTAGATCTGATTTGGTTTACCTTTACTAAGAATTAAAAAATGGTTAAAAGAATAATTTTTCCAGTTGTGCATTTAATAACTATGTTATTAAAAATTACTCTTAGTTTAACTTCCACAGGTCCCTGGAAACCCTTTTCAGAGGTCAACTGCCAGCCAATATTGAGAAAGATCAAAGTGGACACTTCTCCTTCTGTCCTGCTATAGTGCAGCTTATTATGCAAAATGAAATGTGGGTCTATCATACAGCATTATGTGTCAGTAAGTGAACTCTATCCTCTTTTTCTGGTGTTCTAAACTCAAAGCTAATTGAAATTATAGATTCCCATGGAGAAGCCATCAAGAAAAGGTCTTAATCATCATAATAGACCATCAAGCTGAAGGTATCAATAGGCCACCTCCACTGGGTTCAGTGTAATCCTATGAAGATTACCCATTGAGTTAATCTGGACCAACAGAAGTTTGTAAACAGACTCCTACAACAAATTTCTGGGTGTTCTGAACTCAAGACTAAATCTTGATCCTAGACATATTTCTATTAGAGGTTGTTCTAAAAGTAATGGCACCATGCAAGACTGAAATAAATTGCAATCTGTAGCTGAAGAGAGAGAGGGAGGGAGGGAGGGAGGGAGGGAGAGAGAGAGAGAGAGAGAGAGAGAGAGAGAGAAGGATTTCTCAGTATTTCTTTTATAAATGTATCAAACTTTCTTTTCCTTTGCCTTAGTTGGCCAAGGATTACATGGGGGTGCAGTCCAACCCATTGAGAGAACATTCATGTGGAAAAGTGTAGCATGAAAGCAAGATGAATCTCTGGCTGGTTCCACCATTAATTGTTGATGGAGGAACAGGCCAAACTCCACCTGAAATTATGTGTTTGGGATCAATGGTGGTAGAGAAGCAGACCCAAGTGGAGAAGGGGGAGATGAACCCGGACAGTCTTTGTCTGTTGAAGATAAAATGATGTTCCTCTTGTTGGCTACATATGTTGGTTATGCAGCCTGAGGATAGGAAATTTAGCCACCATTGGTAGCTAAAGAAAAAAAGGTGAGGGTAACAGACACCATGGGAAGTTAGGGCAAACAAAAACAGCCTTTAAAAATAAGTGCATTTATGCAAGTTAGTTCTGAAATAGGTCTCTGGATTTTAGTGGGACCTTCATTATTATTACATTTATTGTCAGAGTACAACCTGTGTACAATGAGATTGGCTGAGCCTCCCTTTGTGCATTGACATAAACATGCATAAAGTTGCTACATAAGAAAGACAAATTCGTGTTCCACCCTATGTGTTCTACCATTGCCACGTTTCTATAAAAACCACTCATCAGACAATTATTCACTTGTTCTTTTCAGCCCGCAGATTATAAAAAAATACCCTAAAGCTCCCCCAAAAGCCTCTCTTTGGTGGCCCTGCAAGACTCTTGGAAAGCAAGCAAGCTAGTAAAACTTCCAAACCGTGCCCACAGTCAAGAAAAAATGAATATTTGCATCACATCCTTAATTCTTTCCTAGCTCAGGCCTTATAGCTTTTTCTTTTCTTTTTTTAGAGATTTCACTCTTGGAAAGCAAGGAAGCTGGTAGAACTTCCAAACCATCTCCCCAACCAAGAAAAAAAACATGAATATTTGCATCACATCCTTCATTCCTCCTAAAATCTTAGTCTTAAAGAATTCTAGTTGGCAGCATGAGCTAAAATAAGCATTTATCAATAGCATTTAGACCAGGGCTCCCCAAACTTGGCAACTTTAAGACTTGTGGACTTCAACTCCCAGAATTCTGGGAGCTATGCTGGCTGGAGAATTCTGAGAGTTGAAGTCCACTGTTTGGAGACCTCTGATTTAGACTTATAGACTCCCCCCCATAAAATGCATTTTGAGTCATGCCTGCCTGATCCTATCCCACCCCACCTCTTAATTCATCCAAACATATGTTCCCGACCTGACAAGATCTCTCTGGACAAACAACACTTAGTTCACTTAGGGTAGAATACTGAAATTGTGTAAACAATCAGTGGAAACCACCGTAGCGGTACAAATCCATTGTGACTTATGGCGGGTACAGTCCAGCAAGAGCCAGCGGCCAGTTGGTCTCCACCCATATGAAAACATGGCTTGTTTTGTGAGACCCTCAAGGAAGGAATACGCCTCACACCACATAGACCTACAGATACAAGTTGCATGTCCGTACATACACAGGGGAAGTGTTACATTCAGTTAAAAGGAAGGCGTATGATTAGGTTAGGCAATATCGGTGATGGATGAAGGTTCTTAGATGACGGTCCCTCCTCCTTCCCTTTTGGCTGCCGCCACCGGATCTGTGGAGTCTCCGTGGGTTTCTTTATTGCACACGGCGGCAGTAGTAGCCCAGGACTTTGCATTTCTCGCAGAGATGCTGAGGGTGTTCTTTGCTTTGATCCGAGACATCCAGTCCATCGGGTTTTTCCAAGGGTCTCTGCATGGAGGAGGCAAGCACAGGGATTAAACCCAGACCCACATTTTGCTGCTACCCCTCTGAATCCGGACAGACATCAGGTTCTTGTTCAAGGGGCAGCTCAGGAAATGCCTACAGAACCTTCACAAGAAGGTTGCCCATGATTTAAAGCAGAAATCTCCAAACTTGACAACTTTAAGACTTGTGGACTTCAACTCCCAGAAGTTGAAGTCCACAAGTCTTAAAGTTGCCAAGTTTGGGGACTCCTGGTTTAAAGCATTCAATTAATCAGCACTACGTTTGTATGACTGGAGTTCATTATCAGACCATTCGTAAGTTATCTGAAGTCAACATCTTGAGCTCGTTTGGAGGTTCTAGCAGGAGATCACTGCCATGGCTTAGAATAATAACTATATTGTCACTTTGAATGCACACTAATCGGCAAAAAAGTCTGTAGAGATTCTCAGTCATTCAGGTCGTGGTTGTCCCAAAGCTGCTTTTTCAGGAGGCAAGTGGACTTCCTTGTTTTCTCTTTTCAAGACAAAACAAAAAACAAAAACAAGAAAGTCCAGTTGCTTCCTGGAAAAGCACCTTTGGGACAACCATGAGCTGGATGACTGAGAATCTCTATGGACTTTTAGCTGTATAATTTGGGATGAAGACCCTTTGAAGGGTGTGGGAGTAGCAATGGATTTCCAGAGGAAAAATCGCAGACTACATGAACCATTTGTGCTACTCAGGTGACCCTGAGGACACAGATTAACCTCCAAGTGCTTCAATGACCCTCTAAAATAGGGGCCTTCAAACTTGACAGCTTTAAGACTTGTGGACTTCAACTCCCAGAATTCCTCCTCCAACCATGTTAGCTCAGTAATTCTGGGAGTTGAAGTCCACAAGTCTTCAATTTGCCAAGTTTGAAGGCCCTTGCTCTAAAAGGATGCAAATGACCAGCTGTCTGCAAGGAATATAAATCCTCCCATTCCCCACTATCCTGTCAGAGCTGAAGAAACTTCTTGGATGAGAAGCAAAATGTCTTCAAAAGAAAAAACAAGAAAGTCCAGTTACCTCCTGATAAAGCACCTTTGGGACTAATCGGCATACATTAAAGTGAAATTTCATTGCATACAGCTCTCAAAGGGTCACCACCTCTGATATACACTACATAAACATAACACAATAAATAAATACAAAATTATGCATATACCCACATATATTTTATGACAGAGAGAAACAATGCAATCTAGTCCGGATGTATACTTGTACATGGCAAGAAAATCGAATCTTGCAAGTTTACCAGATGGCCTAGGGAACAAAGCTGTTACAGAATCTGATAGTCCTGCCAGAAATACTTTGAAACCTCCCCCCAGAGGGGAGCAACAGAAACATACCGTGGGGTGGGTGTGCGGAGTTTCTAACAATGCTTTGAGCTCTAAGCACAGAGCACTTATAAACAGCATCCTGATTACTGGGAAGCGAGCTTCCTATAATCTTCTCCACTGTCCTCCCCACTCCATAGGAACTTTCTATCGGAGGCACTGCTGCCACCAAACCAAACAGGGATTCAGTTTGTTAAAACGCTCTCAATCGTGCCTCTGTAAAAGGATTATTATGTGAAGAGTATCAATAGGGGGGTGTTCAATTTAATATTTCTTCTCTCGTAGATAATACTGTCAATTAAATTGGAGCAATGGAACATTTTAAAATCAAATAATATCCCTCTTCTCTTCTCTTTCCCTCCAAAACTGAAGGCTTTTAATGGAAACAAGTTTTACACAGGCCCAAGTGATTTATTTTTTTGGACATTAATTCCATTTCTAGAATTGCTGACACACTTAAAGTGATTTCTGGATAAAGGTAATGCAATTAAACTTGCACACTTGAGTTAAATTAGTGAGTGAGTCAGACAAACACAGTTTGACAGTTCCCATAAAATCATTCATTCCAATTGCCTTAAATTGCTCAATAAACGTGCTTTTGGAAAACAGTAATACATATTGTTTATATTTTTCTCCTAATATGCTTAATTTACAGATTGGGCTATCATTTATCTAGAATATTTATACATTTTACCATCTATTTTCTTCTTCTTTTTTTAACCAACTCTAAATTCATCCAAAGAAAGATCATTGAACTGAACCAAACATCTGTATTTCATGTATACTTCTTACTGTACAATAAACAAATATCCATCTTGAATAAATAATATAAAAAGCAGAAAAAGCCCAAAATCAAGAGCTATCAAGTTCTTATTATGTAAGATTTGAAGGCATCCTCTCTATATGGAGTTGCTGCAATTTCTTATGGCTGTCTACAGAAACAAACCCCAATCCAAGTTTTCTCCCAAGTGTAAATCTCTGGTGATCATGGCAGTCCTTTGAACATGTGTAGTTCTGTTCTGCATTGCAAATTGTGGCTGTCCTGATTTTTCTTCATGAGAGGTCCTTGGTGCTCTCTTAGCTTGTTATTCCCAAATTATTATTATTTTCAAAATCCTTAGTCTGAAATTTCATCTTAACATAATTCTATATATATAAAGCTGAATGCCATATATATATGTATATGTATATGTATATGTATATATGTAGGTCTGGGTGTGTTCGGGTCTTTTCCCATGTAAGATTAAGAGTATCTTGGCGACGTTTCAGCGAGGTCCCACTCGCCATCCTCAGGCTGGTGCTTTTGGCTTTGTGCCAGTGCAAGCAGTGTGTGATCGGAGCTGTCGTCTCTCTATAAATACTGGGGGAGGGGCTGGTGTGCTGGGCTGGTTGGCTGCACTGCTGCCTCTTGATTGGTTGATGGAGTTGATGTTGGTATAATGGGCTGTGTGATGGCCTTGTGAGTTTTGTTATGGAGATATCCTGGATCTTGTGCTGTAATCTCCTGGGTTGTTAGTTTTGTAGTGATCTTTTTTCCATTAGCCTCCTGTGTTTTAATGGCTTGGGTAATGGGTTGTGTGATGGCCTTGTGAGTTCTTTTGTTGTGGTATCCTGGGTCCTGCGTTGTAATCTCCTGGGTCATTTGTGTTTTGATCTCTTTTCCATTAGCCTCCTGTGTGGTAACAGCCAAGATACTTTTAACCTCACACGGGAAAAGACCTGAACACACATAGACCTACATATCTATATCTATATCTATATCTATATCTATATCTATATCTATATCATCTATATCTATATCATCTATATCTATATCTTCTATCTATCTATCTATCTATCTATCTATCTATCTATCTATCTATATAAAATTATACAATTATTTTAATTACAAGAATACAACACGGTGCAGCCGTTCTGGCATTACAATTGTTATACATATATAAATGTTACTTCACCATTTACAATCATCATAATTCTTGTTTTCCCTGCACTCCAATAACTTAGAGATCATTCTTCTTCTCCTTCTCCTTCTTCTTTCTTCTTCTTCTTCTTCTTCCTCCTCTTTCTCTTCCTCCTCTTCTCCTCCCCCCCTCCTCTTCTTCTCCTCTACTTCCTCTCCTCCTCCTCCCTTTGTTTCTGTAATGTGTTTCAACAAGTCAGCAGAGCTCCAGCAGGATTTCTGGCACAGCTTTACCAGATGGCGATCGGACAGCTTCAATGTCATTTTCAATAGGCCCTTTTCCTTTTGACCAACTTTGAATTCATCAAAATGCATCAGCAAAGCATTCTCCAAGACTTTTGCTGTGTGTCTCCAGTTAGATTCCCTTCCCCCCACCTTTCATTTTCTTTGCTCTGCTTCACTTGCTGCACCTTCCAGGCTCTAAAGTCTGAAGTGTGGGACTTCCTGTTTGAAGGGCTTTGGCGACAGACAGAAATCCGCGATCGTGCATGGTTTCTGTCTGGGCTCACCGCTGGAGCGCCCCGAGCCAGCTGGTTTCGGGGCTAAGCCACCTCCTAGAGGTGGTGAAGAGGGGGCAGACTGCCAGCAGGGTTGAGGAGAGCCGCATCTCTCCTCCTCAGCTGGCCATTGCTCCCTTTCCTGAAGGCGGTTGCAGCGGTGGTCAGAAATGGCCACCACAAAGGAGAACTTGACCGGAAAAGAATATGCAGGAGGAAGATAAGAAGTGAAAGTTTTGGCTGACCAGGTTAAATTGTAAAAGCAACAACTAAGGTACCCTGGAATTTAAACTTACAAAAAATAACATCGCTCCCAAAGAAGAGTCGGAAGCAGCGAAGGAAAGTGAAAAGGGAAAGGTTTGGCTTTTTCCCCCTTCTCTCTCCTTCCCTATACTGACAACTAAGAGACTTAAATAAGAAATTGGAAAAATCCGCTTTGACATCAATAGGCAATTAAGCTGAAAATAAAACAAAATGTCAAAGGGATAATAAAGATTTCTGGACATTAAAAACTTTCTTTTTCATAAGCAGGAAGGGAGAGAAAAAGAATAAGGGCAGGATCTGGAAGAGGGAGGAGACTGCCTGGAATTAAAAAGAATCTACAGTAAAACTTCAACAAGACTTCTAAAAGATACATTTTAACTGAAACTTTGCAACTAAATAGTAACCCCAGGAAGAGAAAGTGGGGAAAAAAGAGCAAAAAAGAAACAGCTTGCGTGTATTTGAACTATTTGGTGATTTTTGGATTTTTGGTTATTATATTTGAATGACTAAAATCAATTGGGTGGTTGTTTAAAAATTTATACAATTGCACCACTTTTGGATGAATTGAAAATGGAATTTAAAAAGTACAAAGAAGATGCACAAGAAGGGAAGGGTTCTTTTGGCTTCGTTTTTCAATTCTTAGAAATGGAGATTTGGAACTATGAGAAACAACAAGAAAATACTGCAAAACAAGAAGACTGGGACAAAGAAGAAGCCATCTTTAATGAACAAGCAATTTTATGTGGGGAAGAAAAAGGAAAGGGGGGAAAGAGAATGGAGAATTTAAGACTTAAAAAAAACAACCAAAGAAAAGAAAAATAATTCGAAAAATAAGTATAATACTGGAAAGCAACAGAAAAGGGGAATACAGAAGAGAGAAATAGAGGTAGAGAGACAAGGGGGTAAAAAGGGGAGAAAGAAGAAGAGAGGGAAGAAGGAAAGGAAAAGAAATTACAAAGGACCGGAGCAAGATATAGTAAAAAAAGGACCTATTTAGAGATAATGGGTGGAAATCTAACTGGAAAAGGGATTCTGTAAAGGTACATAAGATTGTATTGTTATATTAGTAATAGAAATAACTTTAGAAAATTGGAAACAACGTATGATTAAAATGAGTGATAAAATAGTTAGTGTAATTTAGTGAAATGTTTGTGAATAAAATAAGTGAAATAAAATAAATGAGAAAATTGAATTAGGAAGGAACGGGAACATTTTAATTAGTTAATGTTTTATAAAATATAAGTGAAGAGGAATTAACTATGGGGGGGAATTAACTATGGAAAGCTTATAATTGTTCCCATAGAAGTATGATATTTAATTGAAAAGTAATGTTAAAGATGTTAAGACTTTTATGAATATTAATATTAGTGATGGAATTGAATTGGAATGGAATGTTGTTTTAATTATATACATTTATAATTTTTTCTTTTTTTTAAGAATACAGTGTGTATTTTAAGAATGTACCAAGCAGAATCCGAATGGAAGTTATGTATTATATTGAATGTTACAACTTTAGGGAAAAGATATAAAGGCGTCATACTCCAATCAGTAACTACAGGAGAAATTTTGTTTAATGAGAAAAGATAATAGATAATTGAAACAGGACAGACAAAAAATATATTTACAATGATCTGAATTGAGATGAGATACCGTATTTATCGGCGTATAACACGCACAGGCGTATAACACGCATCTTCATTTTAAGAGGGAAATTTCAGGAAAAAAAATTAAATTTCTAAATAAAAACTTTGAAGCAAAATAAGGGTAGCTCAGAACTTTTTTTTTATTAATATTATTACCACTTATAAGGTAAATCAGTGGTCCCCAACCTTTTTTGTACCAGGGACCGGTTTCAAGCAGAAAATTTTTGCAAGGACCGGGGGGGGGGGGGGGGG